GACTCCGACGAAGGTAATGCATTTGCCTCCGAGGTAAGGCTAGCGCAGAGTTACGAGAGGATCGTTGATACCCTGCGGCGGACAGTCGAGGCGCCTAAATTGTCGCCCTTGATAGCAAGTGCGACTACGGCCCCCTGTTGCATTCTCACAGGACGTTCACTACAGAAGTATGTGTGCGCGGCGTCCACGTCCTCTAGTTGTCCTTCTTCGCAGAATTGAGTCTTGCTGGCATCTGCGATGTCAACTTTTTAGTGAGTCACTTCTGGGACGTCCAGAACTCTGGCAGCCTGTGGGGAGGAATGGGGTTGGGTGTTTTGCATATTGCTTCGACTGCGTGTTTTGCATCGACAAGACACAGCCAGACTGTTTAAATATCCAGCGTTTGTTAAGAACACTTCCTAGCCTCTTCCCTATCCCCGAGAGGAGAAGCAGTGCAACCCCCTAGCTGGGCTGATGAATCATCCTAGACGGCTGACGAATTCCACTATGGGCCAGGACGTTCATTTACTGGGAAGATGAATTGAATTAGTCAGGGCCGCCTGGGGTATTGCATGTCACCCTCTCTGTAGGACCGGCCTCTTTGAGGGTGGGGAGGAAGTTTGGAAATTGATCGAGGGACTACCAAGAGTCAGAAGACACACGCACGCCAGACAACCTCATCTGGTTTAACCCACTGGCCATTGACGGTTACCGGGCTGAATAGCACTTGCTACATACGAGGTCATGCCTGTTCCAACAGCCCTAGAAGGTGTCGAGAATGATATTTTTGTGTGGCGAACTCGTTGGATGTGTATCTCCGACAATACTCCCCGTGGATACAAATTTCTGTAACGACCATCCAACCGCATTGGCGAAACTGGCGTGACCGTGCATCCCATAAACCCTTTAACGTTGTTCACATACTGCTGTTTATCTCTCTACTTTGATATGTGGGTCTCTTGTCTCTGCTAATAAGCTTTTCGCCCGTTTCAAGTTCTTTTGTGGCCTATCAAGCGAGATGGAGCGCAACGTTTCTCATACTCAGATGTGAGGAAAGTTTAGTTTTTTTTGCTTTTGCCAGCATTTTCGGTTAATTCCTAATTCGTGTCAGCCTTGTTAATATTTTGTGGACATCGAGTTGTCTGATGCACCCATTGCACTAACTTGCCTAATCCCCTGTCCACTGTGCCGCTGTTTGTCCAGGTGCTTGGATTTGGTCCCAAAGAAAGATGTTGCTGCCCAGGAATCTACGTTTTCTGCCTAAGCCTCTCCGTTGTCTAGCCTGGTTTTCGGTCAAACTTTGGTAGCGAATGCCGAAGAATGAGACGAATAACGATAACTCGTATGATAATGGATTCAGCCCCAATTAGGGGGTCTTAATCTCAATCCTCAGATAAGTAATCCATGTTTCTACGCAATGAATCCATTAGTGCTGATTTTTCTGTTGCAGAGTATTAACAAGCATGTTAATATAGGAAGCAGCAATGCATTTTTTAGAAAAACCAACACCTGATTCATAGTCATCTAAGCATATGTTTATGGAATTCAGCAGCACAAGAGAAGAATCGTCGTCCTAAGCTGTTTTGTGCACTAGATGGTCTTTACGCAAGGATTGCTCAGAGTCTTCTTTATTGTTATGGGTTGAACTTCAAAATCAGCCTAGATGTGCAGGAATTCAATTCATTGGTAGTACCCACTTCGGGACGCTGTCAGTAAAAAAGCCAAAAAATGCACTCGGTGGGCGGTTATTCAAAAATTTGATAATTAAATGCGAAGCTTGGCTTTGCTATGAGCAGTCAAAAGAAGCACTAAAGCCCAGCTTAGGGGAAGTGCGCGCTAAACGTTTGCAAGCCTTCTACGATCGGGGAGAATAGCGCACATCTTCCTTTGTGTATGCTTGAGAAAAAAGCTTTTTCGTCACTTTTTGACCATAAAGTCTGAAATATTTGCACGTGTTCATCAGGTCATACTCCATCAGAAATA